CAGATAAACTTACACTATTGGTCCTAGTGGTCGATTTGTGCCCCATTGAAACCCATTATAAACGCTATTTCCCATTCCACGGTCATTACAACCAAATAATGGGCCATCTTCCGAATGTTGGTGGTACTCGGGAGTCCGGGCCTTGGAATTGTATCTTTCGGGAAATATTTGATTTCTTTGTTTTTTGGGGCTAAAAAAACAGTGCGGCCATGTGACGAAACCGGGATATAAAGGGTTAAAATCCGCGAAATGTAATTAAAACTTCATATGAATATTTCAAGGAGAAGTAGGTCTAAAAGATTGGCTAATTTAAAGTGGAAAAAAATATTAATATATAGATATTTTATGGCACTTTTCATGGCGTGGTCGATTTGTGGCTCTAAGCCCAGTAGTGTATGCATTTTTCTAGGACCCCCCAGAGGTTAACTAAGGTTTTAGGTGTTCCTTGCATCAATCCCCTTTTGTGTAATTCTGAACTTCTGTAATAGTATCACGGCTAACGAGACAAGCCGTGTGGAGTAAGAGAAGGACCCAAAGATGCAGGCAATGACTTAGATGAGAAGAGTGATCTTTATTGACATGGGGTGAAAATACAGAGTGACACAGAGGTGGTGAGGACAGGAACTGAGAAATAACCAAACTGGGAGGAACTAACTAAACAAACCTGAAAGCATGACTCGCGGGATGATGTTCAGGATAATGCTAGGGTGAGACAGAATAACACAGGGAGGTAACACAGACGGACCAGTGACGAGTACAAGAGAACACACACTTTAAATACACATAGGGAAATGAGGAAACTGCACACAGGAGGGAGACATGGCTGAAGCTAATCGACATGAAACTGAATACACTGATATAAGACACGGACCTTCACAATAAGACAGGAAACTCAACACACATGCAAAGGCACAGATGCAGAGACCTGACTAACCTAGAACAGAGGGAACACACAGGCAGGGATGACACAGAAACAGAGGGATCACAGAGTAACACGAGGGGCAAGGGGACCAAAACTCGAGAAAGACTGTGGCGCAGAGAGATATGTGCCTGCCTTGAGTACCAGAAGGGCCAGGTTCGAATCCTGCTCAGGGACCAAAACACAAACAGCAATAATGCAACAAATAAATAATAAACTACTCAACACACTGGGCCACAGACCCACGACTGTGACAAATAGTTTCTATATTTGGACATCAAAGTAACACAATCCCCTTTTCGTTATTTTAACATGTGGTGGGTTATGATTGTGATGTAAGGCTATGAAAAGCTCAAAACACTGCAGTGAGAAAGTTTTCTGGGGTTACATGTAAGGCCAGCGTGCAGCGAGCTAGTTTACACTGTACACTAAAGACCTTACTAGGGGCTAAAATGCTAAATTAAAATAAAGGGGGGAAATATTTTGTTCACTGAAAATAAATCACTGGATGAGAACAGCCCCACATTTGTTACATGCTCATCCTACAATCCAGTGCTGTACAGACTGTTTGTTCGGATGAAGAACAGGTGTTCTTGGTATCCTCTGGTTCCTCGTGTCCTTTAAAATGCTCTAGAGAGAAAAAGCAACGTTGGGTCGTTTTTCTAACCGATGCACTGATGAGAACGGGCTGACCATCCCTCAAATTTAGATCACCGAATAGGAAACTTCTTACAACGATGATACCGCTGATGTACAAATAATAGATTCCACAGGAGATAAAACTATGCCGCACACGCGCACGTAGGTGTGTGTGTGCATGAATTTACCAGGGCATAAGAATCTCAGGCAGATACATCTGAGCACAATTAACCCCAAGAGAAAATGACCTCAGGACGGTTTTAATGAACTCTCCGTGTTTCTAAAAAGAAAAACCTGCATAGATAATCAGAGCTGTGATATTTTTATAAAGGCACTGAGAAGGCCAAGGTCTACAAATCATTAAAAAGGCTCCAACTTTCCCCGTCTCACACTGGTAATGATGTAGTGCTCTATGTTTCACATAAACTACATGTGCAGGTAATACACGCACCCTGTATTCAATATTTAGTAGTAAATACTTGGAATTACTTTTGGATTATAGTTCTCCAATAGAAAACTGAATATCAATTTCGTGGAATATCACTCCTCTGGACTGAGGGCTTTTTAATATCAAACTTGCTTTAACATCACAATTTAACAAAAAGAAGAGTGAGTCTATTCATGCAGTGTTTTTGTGTGAGTGGCACTTATGCAAAACCTCTGAATTAATGAACAAGCTACTTAAAACTGCACGTTTGTTCAAAGACATCTTCCGAGTTGTGTCTGCCTGTGTGTGCTGTGAGTTTACACCAGGCTCCCACTGGTAAAATCACCTACAGACTCTAATCAGAGGCAGCGTTGTTTCATCAGGACAAATTCACTGCTGGTTATAGAAAATTACTGAATGAAGACTTAATGTGTGTACATTTGTTGGACCAACTTTTCTTTCCCTAATTCTTTGTGGCACAGATTCAGCAAAGTGCTGGAAACATTCCTCAGAATATTCAGGTCCATATTGACACGACAGGCCACCTGCAGCCTGAATGGCTGATACAGAGCAGGATAAATCTACGCTTTCACGTTCTGACACTGCCTTCTGAATGACACAGCAGGAACAGAAACTCATCAGACCTGGAAGTGTTTGTTCAATCTTCTGTTGTCCACTTAGGGTGATCCACATGAACTGTAGCTTCAGTTTCCTGTTCTCAGCTGACACCTGGTGTGGTCTGCTGCTGCAGACCATCTGCTTCAAGGTTCAGAGATGCTCTTCTGCAAACTGGTTGTAATGATTGTTTTTTTTGAATCACTGTTGCCAGCTTCCATGTGATTGGATGTTTGTGTTAGCAGTTGGCTGCACAGGTGTACCTAATGAAATGTCCATTGTGTGTTTACAGAGTTGAGGCCATGTTGCTACATTGTGAAGTGATTAATGGTAAAAGTCTGATTTTTACTAACAGCTCAGCCAACAATGTTTGGTACTTTGGGGATTTTGAGTATTGTCTGTCTGTCTGCACACAGATTTGATTATTATAGTTCCTGCTGGTTATGTCAGTGGAAACTATAGTTACAAAATTTTACAGATCTGTGCTTGTTCGACACTGGGTTACTTTTGAACACTACGACTGCATAACAAAATGGTCTCTAATTTCAACTATGCTTTTTCTCTGGTTACAACAAAAACGTTTAATTTCTTAATTCCTCTGTTTAATGAGCTGCTAAACACAAACGTTCATATTTACACAGCTTGCAATGATACAGTCAGCTAATTATTTACTGAAAATGTTGGACACATAATTGATATACAGCATTATTTTTTATGTTTTTTGGTAAGTTTATAAGTAAACGAGTATGCTTACAGACACACACAGGCAGTTATAGTAGATTGCATACAGTTGGTGTAAAAAGACACCCAGCACAAAGAGAAGAGACATCTCATCTCAGTGTTTTTCATTGCTTATAGTGCACAGATGATAGCATTCATAGTTAGCACAGTCAATAATCAGTATTTCTGGAAATGTCTGTGAAGGTTCTCAGTCATCCAGCTCATCGTAGTCAAAGGAGCTTGCAAAGAAAAGCGTCTGGACTTCTTTAAGTTGCTTGAAGACGTTTCGCCTCTCATCCGAGAAGCTTCTTCAGTTCTAAGGTCAAATGGTGGAGAGTCCCAGATTTAAACCCAGTGGGAGTGACCCCCCAAAGAGGGACAAAAGGACCCCCTGATGATCCTCTAATCACATGAGCCAAGGTGTGAAAAGGGGTGTGGGTCCCAATCAGCCAGAGTTTCGGGTGAGCTCATTGTGAAACCTGGCCCCACCTTATCATGTGATTTCCTGAGATCAGATGGCCCAGGATGTGAGTGGGCGTTAAGGCGTCTGGGGAGGATCTCAAAACTGGATTATAGATGGCAGAGAGTTGGTGTCGTAAACCACCGCCTCTGTTCAAAGATGGTCGCTCACAGTGGACATAGATGCTTCTTTCACTCCTCTTTCAAACCATCTGTCCTCTCTGTCCAAAATGTGAACATTTGCATCCTAGAAAGAGTGACCTTTGACCTAAAGATGCAGATGGACAGCTGAGTCTTGTCCTGTGGAGGTGGCTCTTCTAATCCAGTTTTGAGTTCCCTCCACCTTCTCAGATGAGAGGTGAAACGTCTTCAAGTAACTTAAAGAAGTCCAGACGCTTTTCTTTGCAAGCTCCTTTGACTGTTTCTGGAAATGTGATAATATGGCTGTTTGTTGTTTTAGAGCTGAAATTCATCACATGGTCTCATTTTCTGGGTTAAACCTTGGCACATGTACAACAATTACAATTAGCACATTTGTATCAGTTTTTGTCTGTGTAATGTGTTTATGTTACTAAAAAGGAAATATGCAGAAGATAAAGAGTGAACACAAACACTGTAAAATGTATGAACTCACAGGAGGTGTGGGTTTAAGTAAAGTGCTTTGGCTCACTGTTTAATGTCTGGATCATGTCTACGTGTGCAGCGCTGCTGGTCTCAAAGTGTTTTATATGGATTCTGAAGCTTATTCAGGCTCATTCAGGTGGTGCATAGTGTCAGACTGAAAGTATTACTAAGTCATTGGTGGCATAAAACATAAGCCTCAATTTGCATGTTTTAAATTACTTTGCTCAAGTCTCATTAAAGTCTCGTAGAGGAAATGACAAAAGTTCCAAAGGAGAACTTAGTAAGCCTCTAAAGGTATTTTGCTATGATTAATAGACCTGCTTCCACACCGTACCTTATGATATACAAAATCAAGTTCTGTAACAAGTGTACAGGTGAACAAGGATTATTAGAAACACACTCGTGCAGTGTACCGAAAGACAGCGAATCAAATCGTGATTCTGGCTGACGTTCTGCACGTCCAGCCCACACGGCCGTCAAGTCTTTGTGTCCTGATCAGAATTAATCACCACTGTAAAAGGTTTCATTTATTTTATGTATATGATACAGTTTCAGCATGTCAAAATATGAAGAGTCTTTGCTTTTCTTCTGTTCCAGCTCAACTTTATTTTGTTTGTGAACATCGTGCGAGTTCTGGCCACTAAAATACGAGAGACGAACGCAGGGCGATACGACACCAGGAAACAGTACAGGTTTGAAATGACTTTTTCTGTAACGCCACTCATTCATCCTGTGCTCAGGGTTGCAGTTTGCTCTAAATGCCTCTGTATGTCACTACTCGTGAATGCTGATAACCCACCGTTTCACTCCCCAGATGCATCAGTCAGGTGCTGTGTCAGGCTTCTGTCTTGTTTCTTAAGGACATAAGGTTCAGATACTGTCAGTTTGCTTTAGATTGTTATTACTTTAGGCCTGCCACTTTTTCATTTGTCCTCCATTTGTCCAGTTTTCTCATTTCTTTTAAGGAAACTGCACACCATGGTGAGATATAAGGATATAACGGAGTTCTCAGTTACTAGCTCTTTGGAAATCACTTAATTGGTCAAAGATATAATTTTACGGCTGTCAAACTGTTATCTTTTGTATTTCTCATGGAATCAGCTAAAGAAATGCAAACAATTTATGCATCTTTGCAACAGGCTGCTAGTGACAAAGAGCCTAAATGTACAATTTACAAGTGGCTCCAAGTTGCCTGCTCTGTGTCGACACAACACTGGTCCACTGGTTCATCCCCAGAGTTAGAAATATATTAGAAAATGGTCAGATACAAGGGCTGGACTACTCTAGTGTAAGACTACAGTGTGTATGACATGAAATTAAATGGAAAAAAATGCCTTTTTTCTTTTTTGATAGCCTTCTGATTGCAGCTCTTAGGAAGTGAGGATGAAAGCTTTGAAAATTTTGCAGACAGACAATATTTACTGATTTGCAGTGTTAGGTCTCTACGGAACTAGATTCTCTTATAATGATGTGAATCTGAGCACAACTCTTAACCCCAGCTCAACAGAGCAACAAGTGAAGGATCCACTGATGCAGCATCAAATATTTACTGAGTTTAATTCTCAGTGTGCCAAAATATTACAGACTCCCACAGACCAAAGATGAGCACATTAGTTTATGATGATTGGCCACAGGTATGAGACAGATGGGTTGTATAGAGCGCTCTGTGAATGAATGAATATGATGCTTTATCTACATTAGGAGAAATGCATTGTTCAGTAGCTTTCTAACAGACTCGAGGCTGAAGTAAGGGTGGTTCAGACCACAAACCTATTTAGAAGAAGTTCTAGTCTATGCTTTGACCCACAGCTGATCACCTTATAGAATCTTTTCTACTGACGGCAGTAAAAAAGTTCTAAATATCTTTGCTGGCAAGCTCAATTCTAAATTCAAAATGCAAGTCTTTATCATCTGAGTTTTCTCTGATCTCCTGGACATAGTTTCTCATCTGTCTCTTCTCTAACTAAAATGAATCCTGACAAATTTCATATAAAAGTTCTGCCTGTCACTTTCCCCCCCCCATGCTGCTCTAAGTTAGCGATCTGTCTCTTTTATCCAGGTGCATTAAATGATTGCTTCAAGACAGCTAGTGTCCTCCCTCTCACAGATACGGCTGTTTTACATAATTACAGTGCATGTTCAAACTTCCCTTCATTTCTGAAATTCTTGAGGAAACCATTGCTCATCAGGCTCGCCAGCCAGTTAACAAGAATATCTGACAAGTTCCAGTTTGGTTTCCATCAAGACCAGAGCAGTAGTGAAAATGAATAATGACATTTTTATACGCTTATACATGCAGCTGTGCTTTTCTGTTTAGACCTAATAACTTCAAAAACCTCCCTTACCTCAGTGAATATTTCATTAGTATTACCCTGAATTTCCTGCCTCTCAGTCCCGTAAAAAGTTTGACTAAAGACGTCAAACTGGTCTCTCCCTGACAATATCAAGTCATCTGCTAAAATCTTTGAATTTTGAACCTCACATCCTTAAGCTCATCTGGTTTTATTTCTTTCATCTAAAAAAAACTGCAACCCCCCCCCCAAAAAAAAACTTCTGTTAACCAAAAACATTTAGATTTCTCACTTTAATGCGCTATCATCTCAATTATTTTAATAGTGGGTTCGCAGAATTATGTACAAAGTCTATGAAATGAGGTGAACTCACAGAAATACACACCATGTGATGTAAATAAAGACAAAAATCAACAAGCTTATTGATGCTGTTACGTCCCCACATGAAAGCTAGGCGAAGAGGGTGGGGGACAGTAACAGTTGGATCCGGGTTGAAATTAAAAGAACACCAGGCAGAGGTAGTTAACACAAAATATCTTTATTATAATCAATTAACTCAATCACATAAATAGTAACAACAGAAGGAGACAGCACCGCTGCTTTAATGGTAGATCAGACAGGTCAACCCAAAGAGATGGCGACCACTTAAACAAAGAAAACAACTATAAGGCTCCAACAGAAAAAGACAGCAACGCTGCTATTAACAATAACCAGGCAGGCCACACAAAATAATGGAGGCCACCGTCCCTTAAGGAAAACCACTGCTCAGTTAAGAACTACTCAAAGAGCCACACACGGTGGGGCTGGTCACACACAGCAGGCCTTTTCCACACCTAGACCAGACTCACACACTGGCCAGCACAGAGGAACTCCACCAAAAGCCTCTCCCACAGCCACACTGCTCTTCTCCAGCTTATATCACCTCTGAGGGTAATTGGTGGTAAACGAGGGCAGATGAGCAGCAGGTGTGTCCTAAAAGGAGAAGGCAGGGGCAGAGAGAGACAGGGGAGGGGCAATAAAGAAGGAGGAGGAGAGGACAACACCACGCCCACACACTCCCACAGCCTCACAGGAAGTAACAGATGCTGTTGTGAAGACAGCTGGAGCTGTTTGGTTCAAATAAATTTTTTATAAAGCGACGAGGAAATGTGGAGAAAAGTGACAGAAATTGTAAGATTTCTGTGCAAAATATGTAACAGTAACTTGATTCTAGCCATCAGCTGTACTCCTCATCCTGGTGGCTGTCAGGGGGATTCCAACACTCGTGTTTGACAAAGTTTGACCACTTTTCTCCTAGATGGTCAATCCATTAGCAGCTGGGTAAGGGCTAGACTTGGTGTTCCTAACAGAGGTGTGGACTCGAGTCACATGACTTGGACTCGAGTCAGACTCGAGTCATTAATTTTATGACTTTAGACTTGACTTGAAAAAATGTTCTAAGACTTGTGACTTGACTTGGACTTTTACACCAATGACCTGGGACTTGAATTGGACTTGAACCGGTTTACTTGAAAAGACTTGATATTTCACCCCAAATATAAAATTTAACATGCATATTATATAGAGATTGAAAATGTGACGTCATTCAGGGGTAAAACCGCAAAGGATTCTGGGAACTCGTGGCAAGAGGTACTAGCGCACGCAGGCTTTCAATTGAAATCACAGCGATAAAAAGAAACACAAAAATGTCAAGAAGCTGTTGTATTATTAACTGCAATAGCCGGTCGCATGACAGCCACGGGAAGCCGACGGGTAAAGAGATCGGTTGTTATCGGATTACGTCGTTGAAGAGAAATTGTTCGAGCCATGTTTCCGAAGTACAAAAGGCGACGGATGGCCTGGATTGCAGCCATTCAAAGACAAATATAACGTCCCAGAACACTCCAGCTCACAGGTTAGTCTGCTCCAAGCATTTCACAAAGGTCAGTCTGCTGTTGTAGTTAATGCGTCATTTTCTTAACATAATTGGTGATATAGGTTACAAGCAAGTCTGGCGCTGAACAGAAATTGTCGCGCTATGCTCCTTTATTTATTGTGCATAAATAGTGAATTGTCCTGACACAATATTGCGTTTCGCTTCTGTTATTATGGTACATTGACAAAAACATATACTTTTATTCACAGGATAAAACAGGTTTTTTGTATCACTAATTGCCCAGTACGATTACAGCATACAGTATTATTGTCACTGCTACATTTCTGTGATGTACCAGAAATTATTTCCACTACTAATTAATTACCGTTGAGCTCAAAGGTCCTATTAATAAACGGTTAACGAATGTGTATTTATGAGACGATTTGTGAGACTGGTAAACTTATGATACGTACGATGGTCTTTCGTTCTACACGGTGCATTTCAAGGTCCTGCACCCATCCGTCGGTAAACTGTACCTGGGCTTGTTGCAGTGACCTGAAGTTACTAAACTTCATGAGTGTATGCACTCACTCCAAGAACCGTATAATTATAAATATGCATATAAATATGCTACGATGAGATAGCTGACTTCATCTAACTAGCAAATGTTGTCCAGGCTACGTTGGTGATACAGTTTTTTTTAATGTGTATGATATTTTTGTCATGCGATTTTAAAGCCGGTCCTACAACCGCATCCAAGAATAACATGCAGCTTATCTCAGAACTGTCGGTGAAAATTATTCTTGGAGCTAGGTTTAATTGAGCTGCATTTTAAAGAGGTGCAATTTCACAATTTGTGTATATTTTCTAAGTTCACTATTTTGTCATGTGTTGAGAAAAACACAGATTTTAAAATTACATGGTCTAATATTTACATTTAGCATAACTGCAACATTATTTTTTCGTTTTTTTTTTTTAAAGACTCGAAAGGACTTGAAATTCAAAGTTTCAGACTTGTGACTTGACTCGGACTTTTACACCAGTGACTTGAGACTCGACTCTGACTTGCCTGACATTACTTGAGACTTGACTTGAGACTTGCAAAACAATGACTTGGTCCCACCTCTGGTTCCTAACCTTACTGTTCCTCTGATAACCACCAATGCTCAGCTTCAACCACTAGCAAACAGCTAAACAAACACAAGCTCACTTAGCTTGATAAGCGTGAGTCTGCAATAACGCGGCAACCGCTTACCAGAAAAAACTATTCTTGCAACGAAGATATAAGTACAGTGCAATAAAAATTGATCCCGAAACCATAAAAACGTGGGGACTGCCTTGGCTGCGGATCTTCATGGAAAAGAAGGCGATAGTGCTTAATGTGGGGCCAGGGGCTGTTATAGATGGGGTTGGGGTACTCACGTGTCCACAAAGGGATTGGTCTGTCTCAGGCTCAGATGAGTAAATAATAATAATAATGATGATAATAATGGATTGGATTTATATAGCACTTTTCAAGGCACCCAAAGCGCTTTACAATGCCACT